GTCTGTCTGTATGTACGTATGTACGTACGCATGCATGCATGCATGCATGCATGCATGCATGCATGCATGCATGTATGTATGTATGTATGTATGTCGATGTGCATACACACATGTATGTGCCTATATTTATGGGCATGTACCTATACACACACAGACATCTACACACACATATATATATATATACATATATACATACATACACATGATCCATATGCTCGCCGCAGGAGCTGCCATGCCTCTGCTGGTGTTTCCGGCAGAAAATGGCACATCTCTCACTACCTCGAGGCGCACACTGAACCCCCCCTATGCGTGAACTCGGGCTTGGTATGTGATGTTTTGGCATGTCCAGGCAAGAACTGCAAGTTTGCATGAAACATCCCCTGTAGATGTCCACGGAGATCCACATCGAGCTGCTGCACTCCGGAGGCCGCACGGTCGCAAGAACTGGCAGGAGCTGTTCATGATCATTTCCGAGATGCCAGGAAGACTAGTGGAGAAAGTCTGCAGGTCAGATATATCTAGTCATGTCGATGCGCACACCTCCTTCTTTGGCTTCTGTCTCTCTCGCTGACTCTCCCTCCCCTCTCTGATGTGGCTCTGGTGTGCCAGGTGATGGAGATCTGCCTCCAGGCGCAGCTGGAGTGGGAGCAGCAGTCGTGGCTGCCTGGCGACAGCTTTCGGTCGGATCTTGTAGCAGTAAGAGTGGCGCTGACACCACCAGCAGGGGCAAAGCTGCATCGGACAGCAAGTAAACTGAGTGAGCAGACACACTCGTCCCTGCGTTGTGGCATGCTCGCGGTTTGTTGGCTTGCTTATGCTTGCTTCATTCGCCTTCTTTGCGCAAGCTGTTCGCCAGCTTCTGTGTGTGTGTGTGTGTGCGCGTGTGTGTACGTGCTGTTTCTCGCTGGTGCTGAGATGTTTTTACATGCTCGTTCCTTCGGAGTCCTTCAAGAAGCTCTTTGAGCTGTTGCGGTCGCATGCGGCCACACCACATCTTGAGACAGCTGGTCGCGGTCGGTTTCCTCCTCGTTCAACACTCAGTCCAGCCGTGTATCCGGAGACAAACCATACAAGCAATTCACGGCTGGCGTTTACTCTTCTTTCGGACGATGCCCACACAACACAAAGTATGTTAGTTTTATCACTTGCCTTTGTGTCTGCAGGGTTCTGCTCGCGTTGCCATCGCCTTGTTGCTGTGCTTCGAGCTGCTGTGAGCCGGCGTGAGCTTGCCGCCCAGGCTTTGGAGCTTGACAGCTGCCGCCAGATTTTCCGTGTGTGTGGCTCAGTGGCTTCGTGTTGTTCAGAAGGAGCATCTGTCAAGATTGCTCCGTGTTGTGCGTGTTGAAACCTTGCATTCGCTCAGGCAGAGGGTGGCCGATGGAGTGCGCTTGAACATGAACATGGAATGGAATAGAAAGATGGGCTGGTTGTTACAACGAAGACATGTGGTGCTGGCCGTGCCAGGCTGACCTCGAACATGCGGATCTCAGCTGCTCTCCGCTGCTCTCCTGTGCCAGGTACAACCGGCTGCACTGGAGATCAACCGTCGCAGCCTCCAGTTTCGCACGAACTTGAACCCTTCCACGTCGAGGTTTCTAGCCGGAAGGACGGGCATGATAATCAGGAACGTTTCGCCATCAAATGATGGTGCTGTACAGTAGAAGTCGCAGACCATCCTTTCATGATCGAGAGCACTTCAAGTGTGTGGCAGCTCGACTTTGCGTGAGGGCCCTTCAGATGCGCTTGAGCATCAGAACCAGGCCCTGGGCACGCGCTGATCAGCCTGCGGTCAGGCCGCGTTGGACGCCCAACTAGGAGACTTTAATCTGGTGTGCAGCAGAATCCTAGAACGTTTCCGGGCGGGCCCATGCTGATCTGACTCAATTTCAAGAGTCAAGAGGTTGTTTGGGTTCTGGTATGGTCTCACAGTTTCACATTTGAAGAGGGAGAATGAGACCCACCTCGCAAGGAATCCAAGCCAAGCGCTAGCAGGAATTGCAGAGCACCGACGGCCCGTCTACAGCACGGCCGTGCAAAACAAGGTCTACATCACATTGTATATATTGCATGATGATTATGATATCATGCATTTGGGGCACAAGCTGCTTGGAGAGTGGTGTGGTGGTTGTGCTTAAACGGCCCGTCAGTGACCCTGCACGCCCAAGGATAACCTACGAGTATACGTGAACAGTTGCTCTTTCTCGATATAGATTGGACCGGAATACTGCGCTTCTGTTCTCCTGCACCACCCTTTTGGGCACATTGTCTGGGTGCAGAGAGTGACAGGCTCGGCCCATCCGGAGCGGCCTTTCCTGGGCAGGCACACCGCCCGCACTGCGGTTTGAAGTCCGGTTCCAATCGTAGATCTGCAAGCTCCAGGCACGCAACCTCCGCTTCGTTCTGGACCGTGACAACCAGGAGGCACACCCAGACACGCGGCAGATTTGACGAGGTTGTTGAAGTCGCATCCCGGTGTTGGTTGGATCCTCTCCAGATCATCATGTACAGCGACAATGTCCTCATGGCACCAGCAGGCCAAATCTGACTCCACTGATCATGTATCCAGATTAAGTGACACCGACATGCGGTCTCAGGCGCCTCTGAAGGGCAGCTGGGTGTGTGAAGCCGAGTTGTGCCGTAGGATGGGAAGTCGCTGAGACCGCTAAAGCTAGGCCGCACGCGTGCTGCAGCCGAGGTCCCTGTCGGTGGTGGTGTGCAGGGCACAGCATGCTGAACCAGTCACCTGAAGCACGCGGCATGTTGCTGAAACCAAGGTGTGTCGTGATTATTCGGGGCTCTTGCCCCAGAAGCTGTGAGACAGTGCAAAAGTCAGCGAGCACGCCATGGCAAGTTAGGTCATGTTTTCCGCATCTGAGGGGGAATGGCTCTGTCGAGTGTCCCGACAAGTCCTCGCCAGTGTCAGTAATGTTTCTGCGGCTGGTGACTTAGATGTGAGGGAGGGGCGCTGGAGGCAGCAAGGAGGTGCATGCTCTGCAGTTTTCTGGTGCTTTCTGGGCATACTGTACGGCACTTGGCAGTGATGTGGCTGGAACCGAGCAGAGGGTGTGCTGTGTAGCTTCCACCGTGGGCGGGATCAAACATGGGCTCAAGGGCACTTTCCAGGTCTTGCGAAATCTTGCGAATGCGCTTTCTCAGTTTTAGGTTGAATTCGTTGCATCTTGTAGATTTTGTGAAACTGTCAGCCCTGCAGAAGACGAGATTGAGCTTGCGACATAGGCAGCAAGGGTCGGTGCCCAGCACGGCATAGCAGCCTCAGGACGGTCGAGCTGGTTGTTTGGCCCGAGGCCTCGTTGGAAATCAGGACCGGTGCCGGAAACTGCCGGTTTCAGAAATTGTTGCGATCTCTCAGTCAAACCTGCATTTGCTGGAAAGACGCCCTTTTGAATGGCTTTGTTGCGGCTTTGTGGCAGAACTATCAACAAGGGTCGAAGCCTGCACCGCAGGAGGTTGGCAGTTCTGGTCTCAGACTGCGATCTGATCTGCAGAGCGTGGCAGCAGGCCTGATGGGTTGGATGCGTCCCAGCAAGGTCATGGCACCAGCGGGCTACTGGCAGCGACGGCCTGAGCATGCCAGAGTATACAGATCCTCATAAAGAAGCACGTGATCATGAATTGCGGAAGAAGCCGCCAGACGAGATATGCTCGTAGTGTGGCTTCCGCAGCTGCTGGAATGTTGGACAGACCTTACAGTGTTACATCGAGCATGCCAGGTGACTAGGGTTCGACACTGCATCCACGTACAACAAGGACACTGCACACCTCTGAAGCATAGGCTTAGCCATAGCACACGAAGTGCGCCTGTCCACCACCGACCGACACCGACGCCCTGCCATGCCGCAGCCTGTAGGCCAGACGGGGCCAGACAAAGCGACGGGGTTGGGTGCAGTCGTGTTGATGGGCATTGCATAGTCATAGTAGCAGCCGCGTCATATTCAGTCTGCGCCTTCTAGTAGTCGTCGCCAGCCGCTGCTTCACAGGGCATGCTGCCAATATCCTCTGGCAGCATGTGATCCAGACAGAAAGAAAGGCAGCCGTTCAGTGGGTCGCCAGCTCGGTTGGCTGAAGGATGATCGGTGGGTGATTCAAGCTCACCGCGCCGGTACAGTGCATTGCAGAGATGTCACTGATTGTGTTGAAATTGCTGAGGAGGAGTCGTGGGGCTTCATGCGTGCAGAGCCCACTCGGCTACAGAACTCAGCCTCCGCGCTCGCCTTACTCCTCAAGCCGTCGGTTTTGGCTTGTGACTCTGAGCTGCCATTACATTAGATTCAATAGAACGCTTGGAGGGGTGGCAGTTGATTTTGTTGCGCGCGGCCAGATGCTAACAGAGAGCAGGACCAAACATTCGAAACATGTTTCCTCGCCTCGAGAACGGCAGCCACTGCGGCCGCAGGTACCATCGCTCCGTGCTGCTGGACAGTCCGTTGTCGAACCGAAGGCGCGAGTGATGGATCCGACAACTGGGTTTCCAAGCTTGACCATCACAGAACACGTCAAGGGTTCCTCCTAGGTTATTCGCCATGAAATCATCCTAATTATGTCTTTGACCTCCGACCGAGTGGAGTGGATCCGGGCATGTGGCGCGTGTTGCGCAAAACAAGAAAAACTTTCCGGTCCTGGCCGGTCCCCTCGCACAATCACACCTGCATTTTGAAATGGGCTGCATTCAGCCTGCTGTGGAGGTGGGTATGTTCTCGCCCTCGCAACTATGCGTGAAGAGTTTCTTACCTGTTTCCTGATATGCTCAGTTGCCCTCTCCAGCTTGTGAGGGTGTAGGCCAGCAGTCTCCTTTCTTTCTTCAGGCTCAGGCTGAAGCTTTCCGGGAAGTTTCTGTGACCCACTGAAGATCTATTGCTGTGCAGCCGTTTGAGCTTACCCGCGTCGGTGCCTGCCCCGCCTCGACCCAGCTATTGCGATTCACCATGGATCAGCTCAACCCACGGGCTGTCCAAAATGCCCTGGACATGGAGCAAGGCCGTGAGGTCCTCAGTCTACGCTTTCAACGGTCAGGGGTCAGTTTTGTTTTTGATCGATAGAAGGAGTCGAAGTCATAAATCGTTTATTGAGGTCTCTCAGAAGCGATGGCAATGATCCAGGATTCCATGGATCGCGTGCGACGCCTGCAGACCGAGACCTGCGACTCGGTGGACTGGAGCGATGCCCACAACATCGCACAGATTGCGCAGGGCACCGCCTTCCTGATCTTGGCCATCTGGCTCATCTTCGCGAATAACGCTAAGGTGGCCGTAGGCCAGAAGGCTCCATTGGAGCAGCGCCATGCTGTCTGCGCCACGCTGAGCACTGCTGTGGCACTCTTCTCGGGCTTCTTCAACATCATGCAACTCACGGGCATCGATGACTTCGACATCCCCGGCTACTCGGGAGGCTTTGTCCTTCAGCTTGCTCGGCCTGTGGAGTGGGTGCTTACGTGCCCCATTCTGCAGCTGAAATTGGTGGTGTTGGCAGGTGCGCGTGTTCCTTCGTACCGCCGCTTCATGATGCCCCTGCTCTCAGCCGCCGTGCTCTTGTGTGGTGTCGCTGCCACCTTCACAGAGGGAGCGTTGCGCTACGTATGGTTCCTGTGCGGCACGTTGAATTTTGCTTTGATCTTTTGTTCACAAGAGCTGTGAGCAGGTTGTTGGAGTCTACACCAAAGGGATCATGCTACCTGTATCATGCATGAAGATGCTTCAGGCTTTGTTTTCAGTGCGTGAGACTGCAGCTATACCAGTAGGATGTCAGGAGGAAGGCCCGGGTGATGCAGGTGAGAAGGTGAGATGTTAAGTGGCTCCGAAATCCGAGAGCGAAGTGAGGTTCACCTTCGGTTCGATCTTCTGCTTCATCATGTTCTATCACAATGCATTGCAGATTGGCGAGAACAGTGAGGGAGAGGAGTCTCTCCTCCGTGGTGACTCCGACTACCGCAGGCTTACGCTCCTGTTGATCATTACTTGGTTCCCGTTCCCGATCTGGTTCATCTTGAGCCCGGAAGGATTCAACCTTGTGGACAACGAGCTGGCGATCGAAATGGGCTGGGTGGCATTGAACTTGCTTGCAAAGTTCTCCATGATCATCCTCGGACAGCGGATGAAGATGTCCCACCAGAAGAAAATGGAAGCCGCACGTGAGCTGTACGGCATGGCGCCAGGAGATGCAGTATCAGGAGAGACGCTCGATCAGAAAGCCCTGGCAGAGTCGAGCACCAAGAACGGGCGACGCATGATGGATCCCGCAGACTATGGTCTCGGTATGGGGGAGGATGCAGAAAGCGAGGAGAAGATGATCGAGCTCGTGGCTGACACGATGGTCACGCTGCAACTCGCCAACCACACGGAACGACTGATCAAGCTCCTCGTCGAGAGTGGCGCCGCCCAGCTGCAACTGTAGCAATTAATCAATCCATGCAAAGTCTCCCCGAACACGGAATGCATGCGCTGAAGTGACGCTGTAAAACGCGGCTCAATGCATCAGGTTACCAACACGGCGGTCCTGGAGCGTCTCAATCAGGAGCGCTGCATGGAGCTGTGCCTGCCTTGGGCGCTCGTCGATGCCGTCCAGCGCCGCTGGAGCAACGAGAAGATGAACATGGGCCAGGACGTGGCATTCCCACGATGGCCGATTTTTTGCGCTGCGCGCAAGATAGCGAGAGCGAAAGAGAGGGAGAGGGAGGGGGAGAGAGAGTCCTCCGAGGGGGCTTGCCCCTCAAGCCTGAGCTGCGTTGTTGTTGCCCGTCTCTTTACGGAAGATTAGAGCTGGACACAAAATTTTCACTCGATCTCGAAATCTTGCTGGGACTATGCGCGCAGAAGGACGCGGAAGGGCTGCGGAAGGCGTTGCTCCGCAGATGGGCGCGGAAGCACCGAATACGTAAGTCGCCGCGCCCAAAGAATGCATGTTTCGAACGAAACATGCAGTATTGCTTGAACCAGCTTATTGTGTACTCTGCCGGGGCGTTGGCACGTTTCCGAGTCACTTCATGTCGTCCCTTATACCCAAATCCCTAAATCCGGCCATGAACACAGCCATGAAGCTAGCCGTTGGCGGTTTCATACTACATGGTCCCCGCATTTGCTGAAAGGCGTGAACGTAATGCGTCAAGCAGGGTTTATGCTCTTGCGGAAGTGTTCGCTAGCAGAACGGTCCGCGGAAGGGCACGCGGAAGGGACGACATGAAGTGACTGAGGAACGTGCCAACGCTTCGAGGCGCGGAAGGCTGCGGAAGCAGTGGCGGAAGGGGGTTTTTGCGTCCTTAGGTGAATCAGAATAAAAACACCGGTCTGGTGAAAGAAGGAGAGAGAGAGAGAGAGTTCTTGCTCGCAGACTGCCTCTGTGTGCATGCTTGTAACAAACTGCCACCCGCAACCGTCGGGGGCGCACTTGCGCGCGATGTAGGGGGTTATCCTCTACATCATAGCCCTGGCGAAAGAACAGAGAGGGGGGGGGCTGCTGCTTCCCTCTTGGCTGTGTGGAAGAAGAGATTGGGGTGGCAGAAGGGGAACGTCGTTGAGAGTATACAGACATCCTCTGTGGTCATCTTATTACACTTTAAGGCATGAGCCACAGGATGTATTATACTGGTTCGTCACACCCCCTTTCTCGCACAACAGATGCGGGTGGGCTAGATGCGGGGGCCTTGATCGACCCCCAAGCCCGGGGGAGAGAGAGAGAGAGAGAGAGATTCGAGCCATTTTGGCTCAAGGCCGTGAGTGCTCAAGACCTTGCTGCATCCATTCTGCCCCGAAGGCCTCGGCCTTCGCCCTTTTCTCTTTCCTCCTCTCTTCTTCTAGGATCAGCAGGTCTCAACCCGGGGGCTTGCTGCCTTATCCTTGCGCACCTCGCCGTGGGGGTTCGGAAGGAAAACGTGGTCACGGTCGCTCTTGCAGGTGATCGGCGGCCTACGAGCGGGACCACCGGCAGATTGTGACCCGCTACCCCACCGAGATCGGCGACACTTCGCGTGCACTACCGGGGGAAGTCGGTTCTGTTCACCGTGAATTTCGAACGTGATCTACGACTGGCCGGCCCTTAAGGAAGTCATTGTTAGTCTTTTTGATTTTCTGAGACTGTGCCTGACAAAGCGGG